CATTGAAGCACTCGCTTGAAGCCACGAGTCAGGATTAGGCAACCAGCAGAAGTTCTTCCCAGGGTGTGATAGTGGGCTCCCCAAGCACTAAGGACACGACACTATCGTGACCCAAAAGTGCGCGGTAATGGCGCTAAGGCCTTGCTCGCCGCGCTGCCCGCGCTGCCAGCATAATCCACCACAGCATACGTGGCTCTCGACTCTCACGTATGACGTACTATCTCGCGTTCTCCCTCTCCTCGCAGCGCTGTGTCTCTCCGTCGTACTACGGCCGGCCTCCTAAGGGAAATTTAGTGTTTTCTATGGTGCTTTTTGCTTTTTCTCCTCACTAATGTTCCTCATTGCACCCCTTGCCTAATGTTTGAACAAAATAACGCATCAATTCAATCCCGACTCGTGCCTTTAAGGCGAAGTCGGGCATCATTGACCCATTTAAAGGAATCTTGCGCGGAAAAATCATGATTCTATTTCAGCCATAAATCACTGGCTTGAGACTCATTATCCACGATAATAGTGAAAAGAACTGAAGTATTGCTTTCGTTTTGATTAGAAATTCGAAAACTCGAAAAGGCTGCTACGCGTTCGAATTGCCCACGGACGTCTTTCACGAATGCTGGCGACGGGGATGCTCAAACTTGGTTCTTGGAGTGCATTCACTAGAAGCTCTTTCTGGCCTTCTGCTTCGTTGCATTCACATCTTACACTTCTACTCCATCCTATTCCATCGATCGATTTGTCTCCACTCTCCGAAATCGCGCGCTTTAACCCGATTCTCTCATTGCGTCGCCTGGTACGTAGCCGGCCAAACGCCGTCTTCTTTCCATGCCTCGCCTGGCTCTGCCTCCTGGTCCTTCGATGGTCCATAACGTGTAGTTTTTGTACGTTTGTTTCTCTTCAGAAACCGAATCTTCATGCGTGAAACTTTGTGTGCTATTTCCAGTGATCACAACTGACATATTCATGTTAGGAAAGAGTGCAAATTTTCCGCGCAGATTCCTTAATGAGCCTTTACGGTGGCTAGAAGCGCTAGGTACGCAAGTGTAGAGGTCGCGTCACTTCCCTACTTCGAAAAGCGTTATTTAGACGCTAGGCGCTAAGAACTTTGACACGCTCCACCTGTTGCGACACGCTCCGCCCACCGCTCGATATCTTGTCTGCGTCGCTAACTTGGGCGGTATTCAATCCTTCCCCCAGGGGGATATATCCCCCTACTCTGATTCAATCCTCTGGGGGGACAAAAAAGGGTTGCGTCATAGGACCTAGCATACCTCTGTGTATTTCACGATTTTTTTCTCTTTTCTCCACTGGCGGTCCACTTCCTACCCCTACTTTCACATTTGAGTGGAATTACCTCGTAATTTATTCCTGAATCTTGCCTTTAAGTGAGCGAAAAATGGGAATAATCTGAAAGGGAGCAGGCGGTTGACGGAAAGTGTTTGAGATAGCGGCCCCACTTGCCATTCTGGCCTTTAGCCGAAAACGGCGTTTGTTAATTGCTTGAATTTTTAGGTGGTCTGAAAGTTGTACGACACATTCGCTATCACTCGCATAACTCGTCTTACAGCTAAAATTAAATGAACCCTTTCCTTTAGTGTTTCTTGTATTTTTTCTTGCGATCAAGGAATAGGAAAAAGCACCATTCCGCAGTATGTTTGTGTAGCATCAATTCAACATTATGTGAACAAGAAGGTTACCTAGTTATTTCAGTGCTGACCCCGAAATCTTGAGATATAGAATTTGAGATTGATGGACCACTCGCATAATACAACTTTCATAGCCTCTAATGGTTAGAGCGAAGGGGCAGATTTCCTTGGATGCGCCAAAAGGCCTATGGGAACGTATAGAATCTCTTTCAAACTTGCTTCAAATGCCGAAATAGATTACTGAGTTTGGTTATCATTTTGTTTTGTCTGAACTCACGATAAGATTTTTATCGATGACATAGTTACACTCGAGATCGTCGTCATCCTCTCCCAGAGGATTCAGAAGCGCTTCGGCAACCTAAAACGCAATAGAATTAAGCTTGCTCCTGTCACTCGCTTATGAGTTGTACTTTCTAAGACTAGGAACAGATCATAGCTCTCATATGTTGTCTGAGAACAGGGACTGGACAAATATAAGAGCGCCCCGTGTTTAAATCTACCCCAGGATTGTTTGAGAGCTTGGACACATATCAGACCTAAAGAGTGTCATGTCGATGCTTGAGTCAGCCATTTCCTCTCATTCTCTTTTTTTATTTCTTCAACCGTTCATTCAAGATGGGCCTGACAAACTTATCGAGTTCTGAGGTAAGGTGGATTTGTCCAACATGGGTGCATGGGTGGGCGCGGATTACGACGCGCGCGCTTACTTCGGCTAGCCACAACTGGGAGCTCCGAAGAAGTATGACAGTCGAGATGGGCCTCATGACCCAAAAGTGGACACTGGCTAGGTGCTCTGAGAACTTG